ATTCGTTATCCAGTCAATCATGATATACTTCACTAAAAGTCCTTTTTTTGTTTTAAGATCACTTCTGAGAGACCAGTAAACTGTAAACAAAACAAATTCAGTAATAAAAATAAATTACTCGCTGTTAGTATTAACATGATTCAAAAGTCCGAGCAATTAAATGTTCTTTCTTTTTATAAGAAATGACAAAGAAAGAAAGTTTACTTTGAACTCAGAAAAATAAATTTAAAAAGAGCAGTTATGTTGTTAAAAGAAATCTTTGTCCAAAAATGCAACACGCCAGAAGCATAAACACACGTGTTTTGTGTTGAAAAACATTCTTCCGGTTAAATGGTAAAACAAACATCAGTCATCTCAATATTCATCATGGGATTAAAAAAAAATCTAAAAGTATAATTTTATATACTTGATATAATAATTGGAATTTTTGTTTTCGCAGGTATGAAAAAGAATAAAAAAAATTCGTCTGTACATAACGAACTAATCTACGTATTTTTTTTAAAGACTTTTTATTTAAAGTTTTGCACTATGAGAAAAACAAAACAAAAAACTCGCTTATAAATAAATATAAGACAAGACTTCAAAGATGTTTTTATTGAGGAAAGAAAGCAGCAAGGTTAGAAATTAACAGCACATCAAAACTAAAGTTAAAATTTCAAGGTAGTTCTCAAGAGAATAAAAAAACTAGTCTAGACAAGAAAAAAAAAAAAAAAGTATTTTTCCCTTACGACTAGGAAAAAAAGTACCATAGATCCAGAAGAATTAAAATAAGAAATTTCTAGCCGATACCCTTCAAGAAAAACAGCTGACTGACCTCGTCGGCAAAATCTAAGACTACAAAAAAAGAAAAAGAAAAGAGCCAGCATCCTTTTCGGGGGTGGGGGCGTGTGCTTATATATATAAAAGAAAGGTTAAACCACCACATGGGCTCAAGGGGTTGGGGATTGATTTGTAAACTTGCAAAAAATTTTCCATAGAAAAAAAAAAAAAAATTTCATTAAATTATTACCCGGACATAAACATTGCGAAAACTAAACCATGTTAAGTTGTGTACTGTAAAGAAATGAGATCGTTGAATAAGCTTTTTAGTCCTTTTTTATTTGAAGTACACTAAATATTTATTTTTATATTCGATAGTTAATAAAAAAAAAAAAAAAAAAAAAAAAAACCAACCCCGAAACAAATTGTGAAATCCCAGAGTTTCATTTTGGTTGCAGTGTAAATTTGTGTTTATAAAAACGTGAAATAATATATTTTTACTACTTAAAAAATCTTTTCATCTGTTAGTACCCAGAGCAAAGAAGACAAAAAAAAACAAAACAAAAAACAAAGACATTAAGAAGACTAAGAGGCTTTCGCTTTATTTAGGTAATAATAGACAACAATTACAATTAAGATATAATTACATTTCTAAGAATAAATTTAAATGATACAATTTTGACAAAGATAAAAACCTTAAACGAATTAATTGTAAAAAAAAAAAAAAAAAAAAAAAAAGGAAAGAAAGTAAAAGAAATTTAATGAACTCTCACCACGTGATAGATTTTATTTTAAGGATTAGAGATTTTAATCATTAAAATAAACGACTTAAATTTATTATTTTTTTTTTTTAAGTTTAATGAAAGAAAAGGTTCTAAATATTACATCTTCTTTAAGGTATATTCCTAGTTTTATAAATAAGCCAGAACTTTTTTATTTGGCAAAACAAACAAACGAAAATTAAAGGACAATCCCAAAATAATATTAAAGCTGAATAAAGTAGTTAGAATTTTTAAAGGTGAAGTAAAGAAATTTAAAGAATTAAGAAAACTTGGAAGAGAAAGACAAATCGACCTTTTTTTTTTTTTTTTAGTTTTAGGGTTACAGACAAAAAGAACAGTTTAATAAACAAAGCAAATTAATACCGATCAATAGGAAAATCACATTAAATATTGAAATCTAGTAAGAACAAAAATAAATGGAAGACTAAATAAAGTAAAAAAAGGAAGGGATTTTCTATCGAACTAAGACATAAAATGATATTAAATAATCTCTTTTTAGACAACAACATAGCCAGGAGGAGACGATAGTCGTCTAGAGAGCATCACATGCATAAAAAAAAGGCGGAGGGCTTAACAAAATACTACCGGGTTTGTTAGTCTAACGATAGACGTTAAAGAAAAGTACGTTTGCAATAGGAGAATTCAATTTATGCGCACAAAGACGAATAGACTATTCGGCTGGGAAGATATGAAAGAAAACAAAAAATAAAACAAGAAAAGAAAAGAAAATGTTTCTTTGTTGAAGTGTTGTGTATTTCAAGTGCCAACATTTTAACTCAGGGCATATAGTGAGTCACGGAGAGGCCTCGAATAAAAAAAAAAAAAAAAAAAGGAGGAGGCAATAAAATTAATTGAATTGCAGCTGCATCTATGATGAGAGTATTCTAATAGAACCTTGACAGAAGATTAAGTATTTATGCAACATTTAATGAAGAAAATTAAATGAAATAAATGCTTACAGGTGGTGCATCGGTAGCCATCATTCGTCTCCCACGATAACAGCGTTGTTCACTCGACAATCGCCATTAGAAATCTGACTAGGGAACGCAAGAAAGCTCCCAGCATTCCATGCGGCCAATGGACAAAACAGCCGAAATATTAAAAAATCATATTTTTCCCTTTCTTGCATAAATATGACTCGGAAACAACACACAAAACTTTAATAAAAAGCGTTAGCTAACTTTTAGTGAAATGTTATCGCTTGTAAGATTTTTACAGCAAAAATGACATAACCAGAGTGGTTACAAAAATGGCGGAACGAAGACTAAGAGAAAGAATGAAGCAAAAATTAAACAAAAGAAAGGATAATGAACAAAAAGATATATATCCGTGCGAAAAATATGGCTAAAAGGGAATTAGAATTAATTCGGTGTTTATGCCATTATAAAATTATATATGTCGAAATTTTATCTTTAATTTTGTAGTCAGACCAGGTGAACTTGTGTATTCAGTCCGAGATTAGTATTAAATCACTTCCGCTTCCTATGTGTGTCCCCTGCCTTAGAAAATACCGTTTATTTAGGTGATTTTAAATTAACCAATCAGAAGGCAGCATCACTGAAATGAATTGTTTAGTTGGATGATAATGGCGCATTACATGGCCCTGACTACTGTCTCCAATCCGCCACCTGCCGCTTTTTCATACAGTTATCGTCATCAGTTAGGATGAATTATTATGGCTTAAATTTCCACTAAATAATAGTACAAACTCTCCTCATTTAACCTCACCACGTTTTGTTCTATTTGGAATTATAAGAAAATAAATAAATAAATAAATAAAATCTACAAGTGAAAACAACATCAGTCACGCCGGCCATTTCACTATTTTAAAGTTAGAGACTAAAAAAAAAAAAATATATCACTTTAAAAAAAAAAAAAACACATCAAACATAAATCATCATGCCTATTCGTAAGTTCCTTTTTTTATTTGTTTATTATCCTTTTATTTATATTTATTACTTCAGTTTATTAATATTCATGTTTCGCTTACGTTGTTAATATTTTAATTTTATTCAAAACTATTTTTTTCCTATTTAGTTGCAACATTCTTTTTCTAGAAAAATCCGATTTGTTTAATTTTCTGACAATTGGATAAAAAAATAATTTATTTAACAAAAAACTACTTAAAAAATAAATAAAAATGTACTGAGTTTTTAGCATAAATCTTTTTGTATTGTAATTTTTGTTTTATTGCTGAATTTGGAAAATTTAGTTTCTTTTTTTTGTGTTTAGTTTAACTCCGTAATTGTGAAATTTGGTATGGTTTTTTTTTAAGAATAACTTTTTACTTAGGCTCTATTTTGTTTAGCTTTTATCTTATTTCGGACAAAAAAAAATCTTTTTCTCTGGAGAAAGGATAAAAATGCTTAAAATTTTACTTATAAAGTTCATTTTAAAAATGAAGAAAAAGTCAACATTGCCAATAATTTGAAATGATTGTTTTTTTGTTTATACTTCTTTCCCCGCCGTTTGATTTCTTTATTTTTTTTTTGCTTTTTAAAGAATTTTACTTTTTTGTTTATTAAATAATATAATTTGCATTTCCCCCCAGAATAATTGTCATTTTAAATTGTTTTTAACTTCCTTACATGACACTTGTGATCAGTTAAAAAAAAAAAAATATTACTCGTAAAAATAGTTTTTTGTCATTTGTCAGCACAAAATATTTTTACTAGTAATTTTTTCCTATCAAGAAAAACAAATTTCAATTTTATTAAATTACTATATTATAAACTTATCAGATTTTTATTTTACTTTTTTTAAGTTTAAGCACGTATTTTAATGCAAAATTTCATTTCTATTAAGAAATTTAATAATAATATTTAAAAAAAACAAAAACCTCTTCTGAAGTAAAAATAACAAAACTAAACACTTTTCACATTTTGACAATTGTTTTTTAAACCCAAACATAATAAGTTTGTAATAAAAATGAAATAACATTTGAAAAATACTTTTTTTTTTTTTTTTATTTAATCTTATTTTTTAAATGTTTTCTTCAACTAACAAAAAATGTTGATTAGTAATTTTTCACAATTATTAAAAATTAAGACTTCTTAAAAATAACTTTAAAATTATTTTGACATTTAAATAAATTGTAGGATTATTTCTTTGTCCGCTTTTTTAGCAGTGTTTTTTTTTTTTTTTATATTTTATGATATTTTGTCTTATTTTTTTTATGATAAATTTCGACAACGGTTCGGGTTTCGTTTAAGTTATATAACTTAATTGTTTTGTTACTCGTGTGAATTAAAGACAAACTGTCTGGAGACCCAAAAATCTGGTAAATTTCGATTTTTTTTTTTTTTTTTGGTATGTTAAAAAAATGTAACATTCTTCAAATCACATTTGCTTTATTTCGTTAATAAAAAAAGACCATGAAAAAGTATCTTTCTTTTTTTTTCTTCTACATTCTGGAATCTACGCACTTTTTAGTTTTTAATGAAAACGTTCTGTAAACTTTTTTTTTGTATTATCATTAGGTACATGTGTAGGTATTTAGGTACCTCCACTTTTTTGCCTTAAAAACAGTATAATTTTAAATTAATTTCGCCCAATATTTTCCCGAACTCTTCCCAGCTTTTTTTTTGGTATCCCGAAATTGAAACTGGTTAGATTTTGTTTAAAAATTCCTATGATATTCGTAGCTTAAAAATCATATCTGTTATCCTACTTTTTATGATCGTTATTTGAACTTCTTAAATCTTACTGTATATTTCCAAGATCCCTCATAATTTGGCTTATGTTACCAATGTTGTGCTATTATTATTAAATATTGGTTGATTGCCAAGAAACATTGTTTCATTTAAGAAAAACAATATACGTTTCTGTAAAAAAAAAAAAAAAAAAGTTTTTTTTTGTTTTTTTTTTTAAACCTTTTGTTATGTAAAGCACTTGGGCAGTGCCATTTCAAATTATTTCAATGCCCACAAATTACAGAATTACACTAATTACAGTATGTTTTAAAAAATGATAATGGCTTTTCTTTTATAGTCCAGAAAATAGTTTCGAGGTGACAAGAATATGGGAAGGGTAATTTAACGGAATATGGCACAAGGCCGAGCTCTTCTTTGCAAAAATTACTAGAGTCCCCTCGGCACTTCACCTTGGGGATTGGGGGCGTTAAGCGCCGGTTATAAATGACCCTGATCGTCTCCCGAAGGATAGGTATAGTAGTAGGTAACCTCTTATTCTTTGAGTTTCCCTACTGCGCCAGGGATGATGGACACCAGTAGGTAGCCATAACCCCCCGCCGGAGCGGATTTGAGTAGTAGTACATTTTTTTTTGTTTGTCCCTAGATTGGGCTGAGGGTAACAATCCCCACTCCAAAGATGCCTATGATAAAATTAAAAAACAAAAAAACAAAAACACACATTTTCGTGGCTATATAGCGAAATTAAACATGAATCTGGTTGAAAGTTGTTTGTTTTTTTTTTTGTTTTTTTTAAGCATCTTTCAAAAACTCGACGTCGGAATTTACTTTTTTTTTCCAGCGACTCCCACCAAAATAAATTTCGCTTTTCTTTTAAGATGCTCTACATTTCAAAATCATCTTACTTTTTAAATAACAAAATTATATTCTTATTTATTTTTAACGACACTCGCAAAATGTTCAGTCGTTAAAAAAAAAAAAAATGCGACTTATAATTTCGATCTTATTTTTTTTTATACCCGATAAAATCATAAAACCTAGTATATTACTTTTTAAACTTTAAGTTACTCAATTTCATTATTAAATAATTTTTTTTTTAATTCTTTTATTTGCCTTGTTTCACGTATTTCGCGGTTCCTTTCATTTGTTCAAGATTTAAAAAAAAAAAATTCTATTTGCCTTTAAATTTTATTTTAAATGAAAGTTTTTGTTTTAGTAGTTTTTTTTACAAGAAATGTCCATCCAGGAATTCATTTAAATTTTGTCTTTTTCAAAAATAAGTCAACTTTTCATTTCTGTTTATAAATGTTTTAAATTGTGAGTTTATATTTTATGGAAAAAAAAAAAAAAAGCAAACTTTTTCTAGTGAACTGAAAGCCGTAATGAGGGCCACTGTTATTATTATTATTGTTGTTTTTTTTTTTTTTTTTTTTTTTCATTGAATCAGCAGATTCCAAATTTTACGAGAAAAATTGTTTTAATAATTCGTCGAGAAACGATTTCTTTTCCGGTCTTTGTCTAAATCTGCTTTAAATTTATAGGGAAAAGAACAGGAAGAAAACTTTATTTAATATCTAAAAATGAAAGTAAAGTGTAAAAATTTAAGTTAACCTTTTTTATTTTTAAAAAATGTTAACGAGCAGACAAGGAGTTTTGAAAAAGCGATTTTACTCTACTATTTTTTTTTTTTTTTTTTTTAATTGCATGATGTCTTCTGGTTAATTTGGGAATAGAATTATATAAAAAAAAATAAATGCGAAATGTTTTAAAGTCTTTCACTTTCAGCCTAAAGAAAGACTGTTGCTTTAGTTTTTAGAAGACCATATTGATCAGAGTTCAAAGATGTTTTAAGAATTAGCGGTCATTTTACTTATTTTGAAATCTTTTCGTTGAATATGAAATTAATGGACAGAAAAATATCTGCTTAATTGTTAAATGATTTAACAATTAAAAAACATTTTTCTGTCTGGATTTCTGGGATGAGAAGTTCTCGTTAATTTACATTCGGACTAAATTTTTGTTATTGCGTTTCGGCTGTTGTGCCATTCGGCCTTCATCATGTCTGTCGATCTGGGAAATTTCGAACTGAACCCTTAAGGGTGTATTAGGTACCTGCAGGTTCGAGATACTTAAGGTTTAGGATTCAATTTAATATTTCCAATATGCAAAACTTTGCCGTATTTCAAAATTTAAGTTGATTGGAAGAAGTTTTTAACTTTAAAACGCCATTTTTGATCAGATTGTAATTCTCTTTATTAAAAAAAAATCTGAAACTTGATTTGAGGAAATATTAGCTGAAAAGTTTAATCAATCTGATTTAATCAAATATTACGGACTTTAAGTTTAAATAACATACTTATCTTCGTGGGATTGTTAAAAAAAGACTAGAGCATCCATAAAAAGACGCCAAACTTGACGAAAACAAAATTTTATCGTCTATGTTTCTTTGTTATTATTAAGAGGAAAGATCGAAGTATTTTTAAATTTTGATTTAAAAAAAACAAAAAAAAACACAACCTTGTTTCTTTTTGTATCACCGGAACTAGTAAAATAAATCTTAAGCACGTTTTTTTTATTATGACAGACATTAATTTGGAAAATCTTGCAAAAATAAAAATAATTGTCAGAGATGTTAATGAAACTTTCACAAACTATTCACAAATGATGGAACTTATCTTATGTTTTCTTTTCTTTAAACTCATGGCATTTTTTTTTTTTTTTTTTTTTTTAATATTTATTACCCCTCTCCCAACTAATTTTATGAAATCTCTAGAAATTCAATTGCATTCAATTTAGTAGTGATTATATTAGTTAAAACTTTGAGGAAAGCAAATCATGTACTTTTTAAACCCCCCCGAAAATCAGCTCTGAATTGTAACCTACAAAACTATAAAACAAAAAGATATTTAATTAAATTTCAAATGCTTTTATTTGCTTTTATGAATATGGACAATATTTTCTGAAAGCAAAAAAATTTTTTGATGAAAAATGAATTTTTTTATACAGCTATTTCTTTAGTTATTTTAGGTTTTTACATTTTAAGTTGTTAAAATATAAAATTAATTGAAAGACGCATTAAATTTCTTAAATGTCCTTATGAGTTTTTTTTTTTTTTTTTTTTTTTTTTTAGCGCATTGCAAATTGTATACTTTCGGCCAATCAGAAGACCCGCAGTAATTAAGAAATGTAATTTTGTGTTTATAATACGGCTGTAATTATAAAGTACGGAAGATCGGCAGGAACTCAATTAAGTTGCGTT